TTTCTTCCTTTGTATGAGAACTGGTCAACAGAAGATGTTAATGATTCCTGAAAGTTGGTTTGTATTAAAGGCACTCCTGGAGGATGTATTCCAGCTGAAATTGAGCTCTCACTGCTCCACTGTGATTGTTCAGAGACTTCTGCTCTAGTTTCTAGATTTCATCCCTGGACAACTGGGTCAATTGATTTTTTTTTTTTATTTTTAAGTACCTTTGCAGCTACACCTTCATGCAGAGTTTTACACAGGGAGTCAGCTAAGCTATGCAAATTCAGTAGTAATTTGCTATAAATTTATTTCCCAAAGTAGGCAATGTCAACCTGTGTTATCAGTTACTGCCTTTCCTACTGCCTTTAATCCAGCATTGCCATCTTGAGGAGAAATCTGAAATGGCAGGGCACTGAAGACAAACTATTTTAAAATTAGGAATTCATATTCTAGTTGTCATGTGTCTCTCTGAAACTACTTGCCATTGATACTTTTACTTGCACAATACTTGTACTTCGTGCTAGCTTATATTTTTTTCCATATTTTTCTATTTTAAAATTCAAATAAAGCTTTGTTTATAACTCGGTACAGTAAATGTAGATGGTAGGAGCTCCTATTTCTTAGTGCCTATCTTTTAACCTGCATTCATAACAGGTTTGTTTTTTTAAAGTTCTGGCTCTGGGTCTGAGAGTTCAAGGATTAGCATTTAATCACAGTTTAGCCACGAATCCTCGTAACCTCAGATAAATATAGTTGAGCCTTTTTAGTTCATTCACTTCCCCCCCCCTTAAATGAAGTAGAGATTCCTCAGAGCTTTGTGTGAGTAAAGGAACTACTGTGGAGCAGACAAGGTAATTAGTCTAATTAGACACCTGTGGCTGTACAATTGCTCAGCACAGTCACTGCTTTGATGCCAGGTTCTTATCTACTGCAGAGTTTTATTTAGAGGCTAAAAGACTTTCTTGTTTTGCTTCACTTCCCCCCCCCCAGCCCCTAAATAAGCTGTTGATGCCTGTAGGGACAATACACCTTTACCTGATGGGCTCAGGGAAGTCAGGTGTGTGCAGGAAAAGAGAAGGGCTTGGAAGTAGAGCCACGCACTCCACCTTTCCAAAAGCTATTTCTGGGGCTTTTGGAGTTTACTTCAGTAATTAGATATAGTGTCAAATAAAACTCAGAGGCTCTATGTGAATTTTGTCTTTCCTTTTTCCTCAGTATTTGGAAACGGTGAGCTCTCGCCAGAGCGATATCCAGCGGTTCATCGCAGAAGGCTGCAGGGAAGCTCTCCTTGAAGAGAAAAGAAGGTTCTGTTTCCTGGTTGACAAGCACTGCAGCTTCACCCAGCACATGCACTTCTACCACGTCCAGGTCAGTGAACAGAAATGAAGTTCCTGAAGTCCAGTCCTATAGGAGATCTTCAGTATCTCCTGCAGCACACAGATCACACTGCCAGAAATATCCAGGGAACACTGAACTGCCAGACAAGTGTCGTGGTCAGTTCATAGAAAATGTTTACAATACACTATTCTATGAAATGTATTATAGCAAAAATCAAGGGTTGTTGTGACTTTTTAAATCCGGTATCTGACCCTGCAAAAGGAGAGTCCCTTTTTATAATGTATTATTTGTTTCAAAGAGGTATGGCTTAGAAAAATCCTATAAAATACTTCCATGTTGCTGGTGTTAACAGTTTGGTGTAATGAAAGTTAGCCAGTAGGTCTGTGCAATTTTATGAAAAAGCATATCTCTGACAAGTACCTTTTAACTTGGATGCAGTGTGCAGACTTCCTAAAATCCAAGCTGCCTGGGTGGCAGGAAACCTGCAGTGATGCCACCAAAGTGCCTGAAAAAGTCAGAATGATGATAGATGAAATAAGGACACCCGGATCCACTCCAGTCTCGGGAACGCCGCAGCCTTCACCAATGGTAGAGAGGAATACCATGGTATGTTGTTCTCTGATGGGAGTGGAGGGGCTTCACTAGGTTTTGTTTCTCCAACTAAACATTTGGGATGGAGTCTATAATGCATCTCAGTGGGAATATACTTGGGTTGGGTATGGAACCAAAATCCTTAAGCTGAAGCTCTGCTACAGGAAAAATGCACAGTACAGCAGGGAGAAGCCCAGCCTCAGGACTGCTTTTGTTCTAACCATTGCATTTCCAACATTCTTGTCTGTAAGTAATAGTAATTACATACTCAGTAGTTCAAAATAGACTTAAACAAAATGTTATTTTCTATTTTCTTTCCTTTTTGCCTTCCTGATTCTTATTATCTTATTAGATACAGATCGAATTCTCATTTCTGTTTGTATGTTCTGTCACCATTAGTTGCTGAATTTCTAAATGATTACAGTGAACTTCTAAAAAAGAAAAATCTGGAGATCATCATGCTACTTGTGGGGAAAAAAAAGGTTATCATAGCCTTCCCACTAGCAAGTGTTTATCAAGGGACAGAAGCCTCTTACAAACCTATCAGCAATTCCATAGGAACATGTGGGCTTTATGTCATGTCTCAGTATATATCATTTGGGAGTATTTAAGCATTGCTCTCTAGAATTCAATCTTGCAAATAAGTGATGGCTGTCTCCTCAGTGTTTTGATGTTGTTGTTTTTGTGACTTTAGATTGGAAATGATTTTTATCCTCATCACGAAAATGCATCCAACGTGCCCCCAGCTCCCACAGGCAGGGCCTACACGAGCCCACTCGTTGATATGTTCAACAATCCTGCCACAGCTCCCAAAGCACCTTCTGAGAAACTAAATCATTCAGCGGGTGAGTGTCCCTTTGTTGCAAACTGGGTAAGTGTGAATGACATCCAGTAGCGTTAAAAATTACCTCAGGGCTTCTCCACTACCACAATGAGGTGAATTCCAGGATGTATAAAGGAGTAGGAAACGGTCTTTACAAAGCATTTACGATCCTCTTATAACAGTGGAGAGATGTGTTATAAGAGAACTGTTTGCAGTAAAATGCAGGTCAGGGTAGGTAGATTCTATTTTAATCACTTTCTTTGTGTCACTGATTAACTCAACTTAACTGCTCTTATGAATTCCAGTGTTATCAGCAGAAGGCACTCGGCAGTTTTGAACAGGATACATCCGAGGGATTGTTTCACTGCACAAAACAACATAAACACTCTGCCAGTCCCACTGTGGGTTCCTTTAAGGGCACTTAGCAGTAAGGGAGGACTGCACAAGGGACAAAATGAGCACAGTCTTCTGTTCCTTTCCTGAAATGTAAAATCCTATTAAGATTTATTTTCCAAGTTTCTAATATATCTATTTTTTTACTATCTCTGACATAGGGAAGGGAAAGAACTAAGCCTAGCTCACAGCATAAGAAATGAAGAACTCCTAAATGTGATAATAGCAATTCCAGCATTTCTTCCTTGAAAATGCATTTACAATATATTGTACTAACCAAATAGCACAGTTTTGAGCTCTCCTTTATTTTGTCTTCGGTAAACATCTAGTTTAAATATCTGCTAAGTGCCAAGTATCTGCAACTCTCCTTGATGCTGAAGCTGAGTGTGAGGCACATTTGAAAGTGAAATCTTGAATTTTATAGACAGTTACTTTTTATAATGGAAAATTTTCAAAGGCCTTTCTTTTACAGCTGTGATTGTTTAGCACTTTTCATGCCAAAAGGGGAGAAATGTAGCCAGTTAAAACTTACAGAACTTTTTATGCCTGATGGTCCAACTTTATTATGCTGGGTGTGTGTATATAAATGCACGTGCTGTTAAGAACTTCATGGTGATAAGAAACATTGGCAGGTAACTGAGAGGTGTCTAAGTAGAAAGTACAAAGTCTCAGAACTTGATTTGCACTTGATTATTCCTTTGGTTTTTTTCCTGTCAGACTACTAATTGCATTTAATTTCGTTAGTGTGGCTAATTTTTTCCTTTAATTTCTTTTTTTTTCTTCTTGTTCCTTTTTTTTGACAGAGAATTCAGATGATGCCAGTTTATCACGTTCAACTTCTGTTGCCACGGGACTAAATATAATGAAAAGGCAAAAAGTGAAGACAATCTTCCCACATACTGCTGGAAGCAACAAGACATTGCTCAGCTTTTCCCAGGGGGATATCATCACACTGCTGGTAGCTGAGGAAAAGGATGGCTGGCTCTATGGGGAGAATGACACAACCAGAGAGTAAGATAATCAATATATTATCCACCTGGAACATGAAGGAAAAGCGAGTTTCATCAGATTTTGTTAACAGATGGGAAATGGTTTTCTACCTTTTTTTGTTGGCTGTCTGGGGGACTTGGAGGCTTTCTGTAAGGAAAATCACTGCACTTATTTTAGAGAGGTTTTGCACACTAATTTGGCATCATCAGAAATCGAGTCTTCAAAAATTAAATCTCAAGTTTGTTCAGTCTATGGTTTAGTACAAGTTGTCTTTTGAAAGATCTTTCCAATGTATATAATATAAAAAACCTTTCTCATTACAGAAAAGGATGGTTTCCGTCGTCGTACACGAGACCACTAGAAGAATTAGAAGACAAAGCCTTTGCCCCTGTGCCAAGGTAACATTTTGGGTGGCACTTGCAGAAATGCCCAAACATTTATTAGAAATGTTATTTCTGTGCTTATGTTCTTTGAGGTTCAGTAACACCTCTAACAATCTGCAGTAGGAGGGCTCGATTACATGAATGTCTTTTAATGGTTACACAAAGACCCAAGAAGGAGCTTTGGAACAGCTGTAATTCAGAGTCCCACTGACTTCAGGGGCATTTTACACCATTACTAACTTCCAGCTCATGCCCTTTTGTGCTCTCCTGGTGCTAGGGATAAGCGAGAGATGTGTTGTAGGAACTGAGCATTTGTTGGGTTCTGTCTTGCAGCCCTGCACCAATCCGAAGTGTTAGTTCTGTAAATCTTGTGGAGAAAGGGGAAGTTGTCCTCCCACCACCAGACTACCTGGGGGCTTCACAGGCGGAGTCTGCCAAAGGTCCTGCTCCTAAAACACCGACGGACAGAGCGGAGCCGGCAGGGCCGGTGAGTGATCCACGCTGGGAACCCAAATGTTCCACCCTGCTTACCCCTCTTCACTTGCTCTTAAATGAGGCCCTGAAATCCTCTACCTTGTGCTCGACTTCAGCCCTGTGACACAGCTGTGCTCAGGAGTATCAGGAGTTTGGGCATTTCAACCCATCCATCCTGACAGGAAGGGAGAATTGTTCAGGGACATTGACTGACAGTAGTAAGTAGTAAGCATAGCAAAGCTTCTCAGCAACGGGATCTGTTAAACATGAAAAGAAATTCTCACAGAAAGTAGTACAAATCCATCATCTTCAGTGATTTTGGAGCTACGGGGCACAGGGAACTCTATTCAGGAACCCCACAAAAGTTGGTGGTGGGTTTGCAGCTGTCACTGAGGGAGAGCTGTACTAACTCCTGTCTATTCAGTAGAGATGCAGCTGAGTGGAAATACATTTTTTATGAACAAATACTGCTACACAATGCTATTATTTCTGCTATTAAGTCAGCATTCAAACTGAGTCAAAATTAATCTAATCAAATTACACAATTACTAGGTTTTTTCTTGCTGCTCATTTAAGTATTTTGATGATCTGTATCTAAGGACGATGTTTTTGAGACTTTCTTCAAAAAGCCTCTTGAAGCAGAGATCACATTCTGAAGGGAAAAAAAAACCCTAATATATATAAAATAATGGAAGCTGCTAACTCCTAAGAGTGGAAAACAAACACATCTTTTTTGATAATCTAAATTTCCACATGGAAAGCAAGATTAAAATAAATTAGGGATTCTGGAGTATAAAATAATGACCACTTTTGTTGAGGCACCCCCTAACTTTTTACTGGGACCCCACCTTACTTGTTACCTTACAAAACACGAGAGCTGTAGAGTGGAGTTGCTGCACTTGCACCCAAGTCTTTTGCTCCTAAGTCACTATTTATTTTCATTCTTTTGGGAAGTTGCAGAGCTTCCTTGTCTTTCCTGCTTCCGTGCAAGTCTCAAACCCCCACTCCCTCACAAGGCTTTGGAAATAAGCCCAACATTGTACCAGGCTGGCTTGGAGACTCACACAGGATTTACATACTGTGTAAAACAGTCTGCTCACTGTGCCTTCCGTGCAGAAGCAGGAAATGATTCAAGGCATCTTATTTTTGTTTCAGACTGCGCAGAAAAAATAGCTCAGGATTTCAAGATGAGGAATGGTTCTAGCCAGTTACATTGTTCATGCTGTGCTGCAGAGGACAGTACTGTGCAGAACAAGATCAACTAACAAAAAAAGACTTAGTAGTTGACAAAGTTTTGATGAGGGTTGGTGTTCAGTAAGATGTAATTCAGGCATTTGTTCATTTTAATTAATTTTAAGGGCTAATTAGACCTAAATCACAGTCTAAGTCTATTTACAACTGATGTACATGACCAGTTTTATTGAAATTACAAGTCAAGTGTGAGTTAAGAACCCTGCTGAATGAGGTCCTGAATAAATAGAGGTTTCTTCACCTGCACTGTGGTATCACAAATATGGTAACTGGGAACTGCTGGTACAACCCAGTGTGCCTGGAAAGGAAAGGCTGATAGGCCTTAGTTCGGCACTGAAATTTGAAATATTAAAACCAAAATGGCCATACAGGCTAAATTATTGGTACAAGTCAAGTTGCTCCATAAAAGGTGACTGCATATTCCTGCTTCTACATGCAAAAATGTATATTCCAATTTGCACTTTGAGCTTTATCTGACACTGATTAGAAGCAATTAGTTTCCAGTTTAAAATACATCATTAAGCAAGGGGGGGGGGAGTAGGAATTAGCTGCTTGCCAAAACTCCTCCATAGCACAACTGGTTTGCCAAAGGCAACAGTTTTCCATTTTGTCCCACCCGAAATGCTGCATCCTGGAGCAGCCTGGGACAGAGCCACACTGCCACCTCTTGGGTTACCTTTACTTCACAGCACCATTGTAACCTTCTAGCTTTGATGTTCTGAGAGAAACCTGTTCAGTTCAGCTGAACCACATAATAATTGTTCTAAATGGCTAAATATTTTAGCCCACTTGAATGACAGGGTCTCTTTTCCTTAGCAGGATAGTGAGGGCACCTGTAGCATATCTTTATAAACTTATGTGAATATCTTTTTCTTTTACAGAAACCCAACATGAATGGCATTACAAAACCACCTTTTCTAAGGTATATTTTTCACACTTTTAAACTGATTTATTTGTGTTGATTTTTATATTAGCTTATATTATTTTATCTCTTGTAAGGGAAAGTAATGATGTTTATCATTAATTTCTCTGGGACCTTTCCCAGGCACTGGTAACACATTAAGGATAAAATTGGTTGCACTTTCCCCAAGAGATGGCCTCAAGTGAAGCATGATGAACAGGACCTTCTCAGAAAAATGTGGGTCTCCAGTAGTTTGACAGGGAGCAGGGCTCAACCTTCCTTAACTGTCTTTTAAGGTTTAAAAGCAAAAATCTTTGAAGAGTGGGAGTTGTTTAAAAAAGTCCAGATCTAACTGGGCGTTAACTTCCCAAATTTTGAATCACTGCAAAGTGAATCCACACAGGTAACCTTGTTTTACTCATTCAAGTTAAACTAAGAGTTGTACAGAATCCTTTAGTCTCAAACCATCACTTACTGTTTGAAGACAACTTCTATGAAGAAGGTGAATTATTTAAATTTGGGGTTGGATTGCAGCAAGCCTATGAGTGACTTTATGCATTTCTTTTCAGTGGAGAAAATCCCTTTGCAACGGTGAAGCTCAGACCAACAGTAACAAACGACAGATCAGCACCGATTATCCGATGAACACACGGTCCAGACACATCCTTCTTCCCTACCAACACACCAGTTCAGTAGTGACAATTACTATCTCAACTTCTAAAAAAATTATTTAAATGTAATTACTGTACAATATTGGCATACTGGAATGGAGCTCTGATGTTTTGTTAAAACCTTTGCTTTCTAATGAGGTAATTGCTTTGGGCTAGTGTTTGAGCACCTGGGCTGATTTTACAGTATGCCTTGTTTTGTAGTAGGATTTGTGAAAATGCTGGAGATAGTTTGGATGCTCTAGTGAATCAGTGTAAGTAATAGCTCACAGATCTGAATCTTTGGCATTCATTATTTGGAAGCTGCAATGGTAAGTTCTAGAATATAAGCCTGCATATGCCACCTACTAAAGAAGATAACAGTGATTTTATTTTTTTTTTCAAACAGAACAATGTAACAACTGCCTTATTCCAGAATAGAGAATCACCTGTATAAATGATTATACATTATTTTGTGTAAGAAAGATACCTTAGGTTATAAATAAATATTTATCCTTTAAGAATAGACGACTTGTAAAGCTTTGCTTGATGTTCACATACAAATTTTCAAGTGTTAACAGAACTCCATTTTCAGTCTAGTGTTGTACTGTTAACACATTCTTCAATGATAGTTTTGTCTTTAAAACGTGTTGTCAAACTTTAGTCTGATAAAAAGTCATAATAAAGCAGTGCCACAATTTTTTCTCAAGTGCCAATATAAAAAGCTGCCTTTGAAGTTCCTCCATTATTGCAGCCTTCCCAAAAGAGAAACAGCTTAAGTTGGAAAAGTTTTGATTAGGGAGCCGAGCAAAGAAAGGCCTGAATGCTGGCACAGTGCAGTAGCTAAGTGGAATCGAGCTTTTAACTTCAGCCACAAGCAGAGCTGAGCAGTTTGTTACCTCAGACTCAGGTGTGGTAACTCCAGCAGAGCCAGCTTGTCCAAAAGCCTTTTCCTACAGTAACAATCACCTCAGAAATTAGCCTAGAATGCTAGAAACTAACTGCACCAGCAGCAGGTGCTTCATCCCTGCACAACTCAGGGGATACTTCCCACTGCTATGAAGTCTGTATTGTGACTGCTGCCAGTGATTAATCCTTACTCCAAATCACTCTATTTTACATATGTACGTGCTTCCTGCAGCATCCCCTGGATCATTCGTTTTGTGGTGCCTACTTCTACTACTATAAACAGTCAATTCAAGTCATGTGAAATGCCTTTCAGTTACTTAATATCAAAAAATAGTATATGAGCTTGTGCTGGCTCCTCTCACGCTGCCTTTCAAGTTCAAGGCCGAGGACACCGCTAGAGCCCTGCATAAATATCCACCATCCCAGTTTGAAACACCAGCTTTTCAGAAGAGTAACTTACACCTGAGCCCATTTTCTAAAGCATATTAGAGGCAAGTCAATCTAGACTGTATGAGCTTTCAATAATTCAGTATCAGAACTAAATATCTAACATGTAAAAACTTTTACTGAGGGCAGCTCATGGTTGGCAGTGCCCCGGCCTCTTTCTAGAGAGGAGGGCCCTGCTGCACACAGAAGGTTCTGCTGCCTGTGAACCAACACATCTGCATGAAGCAAAACCTTCACTAATTAAAGCAGGGCTCTGACTGTGTGTTATTACCTGTGCCTTCAGAGAGGACCTGTTAGTCTAGTGGTAGTACAGTTGCAAAACTTCCTTCAAATATCTGATGTCCTAAACAAGTACAGCCTTAAACCATGGTTTATCATCAGCATAAAGATTCTGGCAAATATTTGTCCTTCATTGTAGCTAGGATTACTAACTCTGCTTGCAGACTATGTGTTATCAGACACATCAGTCACATACTTAATAATCCAGCCACAAGTTGAGGATTGCAAAAGGAAAAGCAGTTTTATTTAGTTTTCAACAGGTGCCACTAAACATGGAAAACAAGTCAGGTTTTCATGTTTTGCAATGCACATGCTCATAAAAGATTAAGTTTAAATTACATGCAAGAGACTAAATTTCTTCACACTTTACAAAACAGGTCTGAAGCAAATAACATGATTGTACATGACATTTACATTAGAAAGAGTACGCTAACAGTTGTAGCTTCTGTAAGCACGGCCACGTTCATCCCCTCAGCCAAAAGCTGCCCCACAATTAGGGCATCTTCTCTGCCTCAGTGCAAGGCAGAACAGAATCCCAATTGGAAAGAATACAATGGCACACAAAACACCAAGACAGGTGAAGGTGTCCTCCAACACGCCAACCCTGCAAAAAGGGAAAACAGACTCAGTCAAGGACAAACACCAAGTTTGGCCCGCAGTTACCACTTTGTGATTTGGCAGTCACTGAGAACCACACCATTTTACAGAGCAAGATAAAGTACAAGGTTTGGGGTTTGTTCCTTGTTTCTACTCTCAAAAACTGATGTCCCTTTAGAACTGTAGGAAAACCAACTACTGATGTCACCTGCCTTCAGCTGAGTCCCAGCTCCATGACCACCCTACATGAGAAATTCCGTTGCAGCAACAGCAGAAATTTAGAAAGGAGTCAGGGACTGAAACTGAAGTGCTGTATCTGAGCATCCCCCAGAATGAAGACAAACAGTAAAACCAGAGTATTCAGACTTTAGAAATTTGTGCAGTTTTGCTAAACAGAAAAAATTTGCAGTTTAGCAAAACACTCCAACAAGATGTATCCTCTTAGATTCCCTGGTACAGTGAAAAGTCAACACAAACAGAGCTGAGTGACTCTGAAGTACAGGCCACGAGCAAAGTGCCAAGGCCAACAAGCTGCTGTTTCCCTCTGAGAAGTCACGGACAACCCATTGTAAGTGTAAATAGAGCGAAGGAAGGAAGACACGGGCTCAGAGACCATTTCCTTACAGCAACTGGCTGAAACACTGCAACTTGATTAAACTTCAGAAACATTCACCTTCCCCTCAACCATCAGCAGAAGCCAAAGGCTTCTCAAAGTGCTCTTGATGTTCTGCTGCTTACGCAACTTCATGTTCAGCTTAAGCTTTCCCTCATTTTAATGCACTTTATTTCTGTTCGCAGAATTCTTGTGATAAGAGTCAACTCTGCATCTGGTATAAAGGAACTGTCAGGTACCATTGATCCCAGCAGTAGCTTTATCTTTTCATGTCCTCAGACAACACTCCTTTAAGACAACAAGTTAAAAAATGTAGACTAATGCTCAAATCACCACATGGACTCCAGTCTTGGTGCACAGGTGTCCCACAGCTCAGTGGTGCAGTTTGTGCTGGTCATTGTGGCTATTCCCACAAACTCAGCAAAACATCACTTCTGTTCCCTGCAAGTCAGGCAGTCCCAGAGCTCCAGCTATGGGGCAGGCCCTTTGTCACCAACCAGCCCTTACACCTCTGCTGGCTCCCTGAGCAGTGGGCCTGTGAGGGTCAGAGAGAAAGGCACCACGTCCCCCCAGCACACAACACATCTCTGCCTCTGCACAAAGTGCTGCCCAGAGGACATGGAGGAGCCCAGGCCAGTTTGCTGGGAAGCCAAAACTCCCCCTTGGCTCAGCGTGAGTCAGTGACTCACAGCACTTGCCCTGCATCACCTCAGCAAACAGCACTCACAAAACACAGGCACTGGATTTGCACAGCTTGGTCCATATTTCTTTTTTAGGCTGGGGCTGGTCTTCTGCTACAAAGAACTTCAGCCCAGGATTCCCATCAGCCCATCGGAGCAGTGCCTGCTTCCCTGCCTCTCTCACCACAGAGCATTCCCCAAAGTGAAATATCAGTGGGGAAAACAGTCAGAAGGGACAGAACTGCTGGGGAAAGAAACATGGAAGGAGTTACTGAAAAATTAGGAACAGAACAGCAGGCACTGTCACTACTAGAAAACAGGCAAACATCATAGTAAACTTTTCCCACATAATATGGAATATTAATGCTTCATCCAAATCACTGTATACAGCTTTGGTCCTAATTAAAAAAAAAAAAAAAAAAAAAAAAAAAAGAATGTGGATTAATAAGAGTCAAAAGGAAAGAAAAACATGAAAAAAAATGTAGCTCCCATCAACTTAACCTTGCTACCCAACTCTCAACTCCTAATCCCAAATCAGTCGTTATATCATTAGCCAGTGCCAGGACACATCAAAATCTGCTTGCTAGGTCAAGTTCAGAGCACACTAACCCAAGGGGAGACGCTTTTATTAGACTGACTTTTAAAGCAGAGCTGAAGAGCCTCACATTAAACCTCCCAGAGATTTCCCACTAGCTGCCTACCTGAGCACATCACTAGGTATGATGGGGATTATGTAGCATGGCTTAAGGCTCACAGGAAAGCTTTAGCAAAATTCCTTTGCTGTACAACCTCTTTACCTAGGTTGTACCTGGACAGTTAAATTGTAAAATTACATTGCAAGTGACCCTCAAAATTAGACTGCAATTAAAGAATGGAGTCAGCAAACAAGGCTCTCATACCATCGCCTTCATTCACTGGGGAAAAGACATGATACTGGAAGTGCCATCTCCTGGGAAGGCTCTGGTGCTAGGGCTGGAATGCAAAGGGATTCAGGACTGTTGAGAGAGCCAGGGCAAAAAAGATCCTGTAGCGTTCAGCCAGAACTGTCCAGCCTGGATGCAGCAGCTGAATTTGGCCATTTGTCCTTGTGGAAATGCACGAAATGCTGAGCACCCTCAGACCAAATAAAAACCAGAGGCCTCTCCTTTTCCAATGCCCACAGGTTAACCCAGTAGCACAACATATGTACAGAGGCTCAGACACACTCTGGATGCTTCTGAGTAATTCAAGATTCAGCAGTTTTCCCTACTACACAGCTCCATCCAAGAAAGGCAAAGCCCCTTTTCCAGGCATTTCAGTGCCATCACAAATAACACTACTTTGGAAATGCTCACTAAGTGCAGGACACAGCACGTTATTTCCTGCCTTGCTTTGCTGTCACACCAATGCCATTTTTTCCTCTCACACACATTGAGCATTCCCCTCCTGCAGGCATTGTTTGCTACTGTTTTGAAATCTTTTCCTTGTCTCTTAATTCCATATTCAGTTCCTGCCCTGAAGCCTACACTTGTTACAAGTAAGCCAGTGTGTCTAGTTAAGGGTATAAGCAGCCAATTGATGTGACCCTACAGAATAAGCACACTAATTAAACACTAGAGGGGGATCAATCAGGGTACTTCTGGTCAGCCCTGAGCAGCCATGACCATGGCCTAACCCATTCCAATGAACCCTCTTAATCAGCTTGCAAGGCCCAAGTCCATTGGTCAGCACATGCCCCTGACACTTAAAATAGAATTTATTTTAAACTCCCTTCCCCCTAAACAGAGTTATTCAGAAGTGTTTTGTGGTCAAGCAAAATGCCAAGTAAAAATAAAAAAAAATTCAACAGATCCAGGGAAAAGGCCCGGGGAGGGACAAAGCAAAGCACAGGGAGCACTGCTG